GAATTGCTTTTGAATATTCGTGGTAGCACCGCCCCAGAGTGTGAATTCCTGTAATTAGAGCCGACTGTTAAACGCTGTGGTATGCAGTAGAGCAGGGCAATATGACCAAAAATATTTATCACGATCTACATTTGAAAATTTGCAATAATGATATAACTGACGATATAATTGACACTAGACAAAATACTTTACAACTCCTCAACTTTATTAGTGCAAAAAAAACCCCATCAATGTATTTTCACTTAAAAACAAGCAGCTGTTTTTTTTATGTGCATTAAAGTTATATATAAAAATTTAACATTGCAAATGCAAATTCCTTGCTGACAGTTTAACCAAAAGGCATTTCCAGTGGAAATTGGCCGACATATCCTCAGCATAACCATGTAGAATATCCACAAAACTTAAAAAGAGGTTATACACACACAATACGGTAATATTATGTTGAAGTTGGAGAGCTGAAGCAAGAGCAGAGGAGCCATCACCACTGAGGTTCTAAACATAGAGTAGAGTTGTTTCGGATGTGACTTCATTGTTTCCTCTTTGAGAAAGTCATCCATTATACTGCTCTTCTCGTTCCTATGTGCAAGTGATCTCACCTATAAGAGATTTAACTGAAACTTGCATCAGTCATTTTGGGCTAAGCCAATTAATCAGTTTTATTGAACAAATACCTACTTTTTAATTTCCAGCATGATAAAATGATGTCAAGTATATGTTTGGATAAAAATGGCTGGCTTGCACAGAAACACCTATAAGCTGAAGGTAAAGATGTTACAGAGAAGTTTTCAATTTCACTTGGACACATGCTGCTCTCCCTACTTTTTTGTTGCAGCTCTACATTTTTTTGCAGATAATTGCAGCTGTTCCCAAAAGGGGACATAAACAAACTCAAAGCATGACTTTCCCCAAAGGGGCCAGTCAAGATTTAGCTGTTTAGAGTAAAAAACAGCTGGTAGGTCACTGAATTGCCTCTTGTCTTTTTTGTAGCTGTAACTGAGAGACATCAGTCATGATTGGTCTGCTCATTTGCCCACAGTGTTGAAAAGAGCGTGTATATCTATGTTTATACACACATGTATGAACCTAGTGACCCTCTCTAGACATGCTCCCGAGAGGATCTGCTATTGGCTCAGAGGCGTAGGCTGGTCTGTAAATGACTTCAGCCAAGCCCTCATTTTTTTCTTTTCTTCTTTGCTTTGAGCAGAGCTTAAGTTACCGCCTCTCAAAACACACACAGACTTTTTTCTTCTTCCTGCTCTGGAGGAGCATAAAAAACAGTTTTAGATGTAACCAAGCTGCCTACAACACAAAGAATACCTGTGTTTAAATACCTGCGGCATTACAGAGCTGATTACAGGCGCAGTCCTTTCAAATCCTTTATGAGGAATGTTTTGTTTTTTTAAAAAGAAACCTGTTGGGCTGTTTTCTTGTTTTTTTTTGTTTTTTTTTGTTCCTTTAAAAATGTTTGTCATTGGAAAATATTGTGAAATTAGGCTGGAATAACTACTGAAAGCTTCTTTTACCAATCTGTTTTGATTTTATGACCCACAAAGATGCTAAGATGCAAAAAAGCCAAAAAAAGAGCTCATTAAGTAATCACAAACTTCTGCAACTTCAATTTGATAAATATTTCTATATCAAAAAGATTTAATTCAGGAGAACTATTCTCTGCTTTTCAAGTCAAGTATCTTTGCATAAGTGACAGTTAAAGATGATCAATGTTATACTCAATCTTGGTGCCATCTTTCTCTTCATCCCCCTTTTAAACCAAATTTTCTCTGATCTTGATGCATGCTCAGTCATTCAAGCAAGGAAATTCCAGGAAGTCGATTCGGTTGATCTGGATGTTGCACTTTCAGAAGAAAAGACATTTCGTAACTCATCAGTCACTTGGATGAGTGAGTAAACATTCCTTCCTCTCACAACGTCTAGATGAACAGAATCAACTTTCTAGGAAACAATATCTACTTGGTGGCAGGATATGATCACCTAAGTTGTAAGCAGATTATCTCTGGTCACCTGCTGTTTAAACCTAAGCTTTTGCAAGCGGAAAGAGAAGAACGACTTTAAGGAAGGGGATTATTAATCAGAGAGGATTATTTAAACAGTGAGTGTAAGAATAATGTATGAATGAGCAGACAGGCAGGCCATGTGAGGTTACACTTATACCAGCCAAGAGAAATACAAGGCTTCAGCAGGCTGAAGTTAAATGAAATTGGGCAGCTATGATATGAAACCAAAAACATAGGCTTATCAGAAGAATCTCAGTTCTGAGGCATTTCGCTCAACAACACAAATCAATGGAACCAATCAGCCTTGTGTTAGCAGTTCAGGTGACTGATGGCGCAATCATGAGGAAATCTTTTCTTGGCAACTCTTGGGCCCCTATTCATTCACCTTTAAATGCCACAGCTTATCTGAGTGTTGTTGGTTATGTGCTTTCCTTTTTGGCCATAATTCACAGTCTTCTGATGGCCACCACCAGAGTGATAAGAATAGAAGTAATCTGAAATGTTAGTCACGAAACCACGATTGATTTTCGGTCACCAGATCGGAATGTTGTAGAACATCACTGAGATGTGGACAATGGCACATTATTATGGTTTCCTCATAAAAGTTCTTGGTAAGAGCAATGTGAAATGTATTTCAAATTTTCTACCTGATTAGCTTTGAAAATTCGCTGGCCGTGAAATTAGGAACAAATGTCATTCTGCACTGCTCCATGTTAAAGACTTTAACAACCTTTAGACAAGGTGATTTTTCACCTCCTTTTTACCTCATGTTTGTTCATTTTACGAGCTTGACTTCTTAGACTTGAATGGCCATTGGAAACTCTTTCTGCTGGTGTTTCAAGGTGGAGTTGAGATTATTAAAAAATGTAATAGCTAAGCGAAGGAGAGATCCTTGATTTGTGTCATCTCTTAATCAGTTCGGTGGGTTTGAATATAAAAATACTTCAAACTAAAACTAGGTTTCTTCAGGATACTCAAGTTAAAACAATGACACTTTGAGGTGACATCTACTCTCATAAAGGTCAGATCCTTTGTTGCCAAAATACAAGGAAGGTATCTGTTATGAATCACTGTACCAAAGGATTTGGCATGAATCACGCGGGGTAGGAAAAAAAAAACATTAATCATCAACAAGATGACTGGTTTTAAGGAAATGAAGGATTGGAATAGTAAGCAACACTGGATTTAATCGAAGTTTAATCTTGAGTATGTGAAGCCTTTTGAGATAAATAAGAAAATGCAATGTTAAGGTATACAGTTTAACCGATGTTTTCAGAAAACTAGCACTCAGAGGTGGTCATATGCACAGTTAGCTGACGCAGAAATGATAAAAGGGGTCAGTGTTGGTTAGGGCTGCCACAAACGATTATTTTGATAGTCGACTAGTCACCGATTATTTTTGCGATTAGTCGACTAATCAGATCATGCATCCATTGGACGTACAACGTACAGCTTATTGCACCAGCATGCATCTGCTCTTATATAACTATCATTAGCTTACAGCTTTAAGTGTTTAAGGTATGTGCTAACTAAAAATAAAGACAAGATGATAGTTTATTAAATTTTAATGAAATTTGCAGATTGTTTCGGTAAAGTTTAATAAACTCCTTGCTATCTAAAATATAACAGGACACCGGGGTATATTCTCGAGCATCTGATAATCAGCTGTCTGCTTGATGTTTATTCAGCTGTGTAAAAACTATAACTTTAATCTCAGCCAAACCGATTTACTCAGGCACAAATAAAATACAACAAAAAAAGCCAAACAATAACATTTTTAAGTTATCTAAGTGACTTATATATCATGTTTAACCTGAGTAGCGAAAGACGGCAGTGGGTTTGAAAACGATTTGCTGGGAGTCCGGTGTTCTCACGGGCTCTAGTGAGCCTTGCCCCCGGCTAGCTATCGAGCTAGTGGGTAACAGACGTCTCTGAAAATATGTGGTGTCCTGATAAACTGAGCCGATATTTGAGGTTTACACAGCTACATTCTCGCCTGAAAAAATGCTAAACGTTTATTTTGTGACCCAGAAAGAATAATAAGAGTAATATTAAAACTAACTAGCTGCCGCCATTGTTGGAAACTGAGCTGGGCTGCGCTATGAATTCTGGGACACAGCTGCTTCTTCTTCTTTGGGGTTTAACGGCAGCTGGCATCCTTGTACATGCAGTGCTGCCATCTTCTTTTTCAGTCCGTTATTACACTCTTAAATCCTACTACTTATTCCTGCGTCTTTTGGGATCTTACAAAGCTTCAAATGACGCGTCGACTATTAAATCAGTGTCGACGTAATCGTGACTAGTCGACTAATCGTGGCAGCCCTAGTGTTGGTGGACAGTAGCTCGAGGCGTTTGCTTCCCTGTCTGCGAACTGGAAACTGAGAGCGACATACCATGCACTGGTTTGTTAACTTCTTGGTATTCTTCTAATCTACTGGGCTCTGGTGAGATCAAGCTAAAAATGAACTCTGTAATAACAGGAATAAGAGCACAGACAATAAGATCAGTAGACCTGAGTCTGACCTGGACGTTTTTCACAAGGCAGCTTTACTCAGAAATCTGGAAAGCTTTTGAAAGGACAAACCTGTGACCCCCCTCAGACCTAAAAATATTTGTATGATCCATTATTCATCTCAGTCTGTTAGTAATGTCTTCAACAGACATAGTTACAGCTCGACGGTGGATTTCTCTTTTTTCTCTGTTTGTCTGTTTGGAATGAACATCTTTTATGCTCCATATTCACAGTTTTATGTACTGTAGCAGTATATTAAGTGTCTTTAAAATATTTCAGGAAATCTTAACAGTGTGTTCATTAAACATTATAATAACTACATCAGGGTGGAAAATGTACTTGTCATCAATTCCATTCTTGGTCAGTAAACTGAGATCTGTGGGATTTTCTGTGCCAGCTCATGGACACATGGCAAAATGTGATTAACTGGTCAGACTGGTATCTTTACTGACAATATTTTCCCTGTTCTCTTTCAGCAAATAACGCTTCCATTGTTGATGAGTGTTGGAACTGCGGTGATTGGCTCCCTGCAGTTTGGCTACAACACAGGTGTTATCAACGCCCCCCAGGAGGTGAGCTGTAAACTGTCTTATTACAAAAAGCTAAAGGAGAGTGAGGCATGAACAAGAGGCTGTTGTCATAAAGGTTCAAATTGAAAGTTTTTGGTTTCAACAGGTGTTCGTTCAGTGTTTATTGTCATATCAGACGAAGGAACACAAAGTACAGCCTTCAGAATAACCATAAAATAACCAGGGTTTCCAAAAAACTTCCAGAATCTCTGGGTCTGCAGAAATCAATCAAGCCAATCAAGTGCTTTCCAGCTATCCAACTTTGTTCCACAGTTGGCTGTTAATTCACTCGCTGCCTTGAAGAACATCGCAGAAAAGGGAGGGTGTAGGTTAAGAGGTGAGGTAATAATAGCTGAATTTAGGCCTAATGGGTCCAAGGACATCTGGATCAACAGAGAGCAACAGAGAGTGTCTATGCCCAAACATGGACCTCTTTTGACCAGAAGCCAGCTGGCAAATGCTTGAGAATGAAATTTAGAAATTAAATTTAGGAGGCAGACGGTGACTTATCCCCGTAACAAAAAGAGATCACAAAACAATGTTCCAAAGCCCCCCAGAAGACTAAGTCAGACAGTCGATTTATTAACAGGAAGGTACAGCAAAGACATTCATTTCCTAAGGAATGCCTGTGTCGCATTGCGTGTGAGAACTACTGTCAGCTCAGTTTGCGTTGGTCTGAACACACCCTATGACTACTCAGACTACTCTCTGCAGGTAATAGGTGTGTCTCCAGACAGGCTAGAGCTCCACTCCTTTTATGTTATCTTTGACCCACACAGAGGTACTAGGAAGGAGGCCCAGACAGACCCTCCTAAACTGAGCTGTTCTCTGTTATGCTCAACCTTGATATGAAGGACCCTTTTCAATTAGAGAAGCTTTCAGTCCACTAAATTCCTTTAATATTAATAAAAGTGTGACGTGAAATAAAACTAAGAGTCTGATTATCATATTAGGTTATCATGATATTAATGTGGTCTAAAATATGTAAAAGAAAAATAATTAAAGCGCATAAACTATAAAATGTGTTAAATCGTCACAACTAAGAAGCTGGGTGAAGGATTTTAGCTGAAAATTTGCCTGAGTTCATCTTCTGTTGATTGACTCTGACAGACGCAAGCTTGTCCTTATTTGCTAAAAAGTGTTCTAGACCTGCACACAGTTTTATGTTATTTTCAAGAATAAAATGTCACAAATTGTTGCTAATAGTATTCAAATCTTTCTATACACTATTAGCAACACGTGTTCATCATCATATAATCACCTACAGCGTGTCACCTAAAGCCTTGTACTGTGTTGGAGTGTCTCTGATTAGATACGCCTTTTCAAGGGCCTTGTTCAGGCTGTGCTGTGCTCCAGCCATTGAATGTTTGCCTGATCAACACTTGAATGTAGGCTCATTGGATGTATTGCAGGAGGGAGGGTGCTTCACTTTTCTTTAAAGATTTCTCCTTTTGAAACAATATAACTATGTAGTTCACATCTATTTTAGTGCTTTTTAATTAGAAAGGTCTTAAAACAAGAGAAACTATATTATTGTTGCCTTTTTCAGTATTTTTCAGTATTATATTGCGTGCTGAATACATTGCTTACCTTGACAGCCTGGTCCCCAACCAGTTTCATCACCAAGGCTGAAGGCCAGTCAGTATGAATAGACAGTTTTCACAATGTGTATTTTAGGCCAGCTGGTGGTTTGGATTGTGTAGCCTATTGAGATTAGAGAACAAGAACCAATTATGTAACTTTTCAAGGGCCACCTTGTAATTTGTTGCTAACAAGTTACAGTTAGTGAGAGTTTTAAAGTAACCATTAAAAGATGGCAGTGGAAAAACATGTATAAGATGTTGTTTGTAGAGTTGAAAACACTGTTTCATTACTTAAACCTGGAGTTTGCTTTTAGTTTTGCAGAGCTCTTTCTTTGGTTTTTCAGATCAAACTGTTAATGCAGGCAGTGATGAAGCTTCAAAAACCCACAGAAAAACTACACGGTCCAGCACAAATTTCAAAACAAAGTTAGTTGACAGTTGTTTGAGCATTTAGGAGCCTAATGAGCCAGATGCTTTCCTTTAGGAGTTGGTAGAGATCAAATCGGGAGCCTTGCAACTTAATTTAAGATTCACCTGTGCCCAGGATGTGCCTTTCACTCTTCAGCTCATACCTAGTTCATACCAGTTTACCTCTGGTTTTTATTTCTGTTCCACAGGTTTTGTGTTTTAGTGTCTGTAGCTTTAAAAGCAGATAGGCTGGCCACGCCCCCTTTTAGGGAACAGTACCTTCCCTGATGGTGTCATGGTGTCCTATTTCATGGACCAGTGAAATAGGAGAGCTAATAAAGCTGGTAATACAAACACAACCGTGCTTGAAACAGAACTGGAATACAACGTTTCAGAGGAATTTTAAAAAAGCAGCAGTTTATTAAGATATTTGTTTATTAATCCAAGGATAAAGGAAAAAAAGTTATACTGTGTTGGTCTTTGACTTGCGAATGTAATGAAAAAACCAAAAAGAGATGACATTGCATAGTACATCTCCTTTTAAGACAGTGAATAAGGTCTTACCTTAAAATGTCTTACTACCAAATGAGAGACTGTTGCTCTGTAATTCTGAATGCATAAGTAAACAACTGTGTGCAACCAGCTTCATATGAACGTAAAAGCTGATGGAGATCATGTGTAAATACATACTTTTCTCCTCACACTTTTGCTCTTTTCCATCAGCTTTGCTAAACTACAGCACTTAAGTAAAGTACTTATTTATGTTCGATCTCTGCTTGCATAAACTCTGTGAACGTGTTCTTTTTAAAGGGCAGACGTGATGGGATGAAGGCCAGGGGGACAGTACAGTATATGATACCATACATACTTATCACCAACAAGGTCTTGTGAGTGTAAGTTGATAGTGGATGTGACCCAGGCTCTGTGTTAACAGTGTCAGAGTGTCATTTAATATGTATCCCTCCACTACAGAAAAGCCCTTGACAAGCCAAAGCCTCCTATTCATAACTGCTAATAAGGACATCTCAGAGTTTGTTTGTTTTTTTCCACATGCCGTCACTGATCTCTAGTACATCACGATCTCCGGGACTAGATTAACTGCAGAGTGCCTCAAAAAATGTGCTGCACAAGCTCAAAGGCACATGATCCAGATGATCCAGACTTAGATTTTGGTTGCAGTAGAAGTATACTGGTGGTTGTGGACTGGGTAGTGACCTTCTTGAATCATGCCAGAGGTGTCAGCGTGACACACAGAAACAGAAGCAGGCATTGCTTTTTAAGCACCGTCACCCGCACTCCTGGGTGTGTTTGTCAACAAAGTTGTCTGGGATGTGGTGACACAGTGAAGGGAGGGGATGTGAAACCTGACACCCGAGTCTGATAAACTTCCTGGTGGCCAGGAAATGCTGGTGATTATACAGTGCTGCCATCAGCTGGCTGTAAAGTGGCATTTCAGCTATGTGGCAGGGTTCAGAAGAGGAAAATCTCAAGCGTGTGATCTGATGCAGACATGGAATGATCACATTACAACTATGACAACAGTGGGACTTGTGGATGTGTTAAATGATTCTGTATGATAGATTTTATCCTGTTTGTAATCCTTGGAAACAAAAGTAACAATGAAATGTGTCTTTCTTAGGTTATTGAGAACTTCATCAATCAAACGTGGTATCACCGTTACAATGAGCCCATTCCCAAAAACTCCCTGACAGCTGTGTGGTCCATCGCTGTTTCTGTCTTCTCTGTCGGTGGCATCTTTGGTTCATTCTCAGTAGGACTCTTTGTTAACCGCTTGGGAAGGTAAACAACATACTGAGTCACTGCTAGTATTAAACAGCATGTTAGTCCTTTGCTGAGAGCCTGTCTGCATTTAATTTGTCTAAATTGTATCTTGTTCTTTGATGTCTACAGGAGGAACTCTATGCTCATGGCCAATATTCTGGCTTTTATCTCGGCCGTTCTGATGGGTTTTTCAAAGATGGCAAAGTCGTGGGAAATGCTCATCGTTGGCCGTTTTGTGGTTGGGCTGTACTGTGGCCTCTCCACAGGTTTCGTGCCCATGTATGTGGGTGAAATTTCCCCAACAGCCCTACGAGGAGCCCTGGGCACGCTACACCAGCTGGGCATTGTCATTGGAATCCTCATTGCACAGGTTGGTGAATATGTATTTGTGGCATTCGTTGTCTTGTGATATGTCTTATCCTGTGATAAATTGTTTCTACTGGTGGTTGCTAGGAGCTATGCAGGTGGTTCATTAGTGTCTGTGTGGGTTTTAGATATTTGGATTGGAAGTGATCATGGGAAACGAGAACTTGTGGCCTCTCCTCCTGGCTTTCCTCTTCATCCCTGCTGTGATACAGTGCGTCCTGCTGCCTCTCTGCCCAGAGAGCCCCCGATTCCTGCTCATCAACAAGAACGAAGAGAACAAGGCCAAATGCGGTGAGCACATACATACAAGTCATACAAGCCGGCATATGTGTAAACATAAGTTCATTTTAAATCATCTGTTCTTTTTTTTCTTACATGTTTCAGTGCTGAAGAAGCTCCGGGGCACCACTGATGTGAGTGCTGACATGCAGGAAATGAAGGAGGAGAGCCGGCAGATGATGAGGGAGAAGAAGGTGACCATCCTGGAGCTTTTCCGCTCGCCCCTCTACCGTCAGCCCCTGCTCATTGCTGTCATGCTGCAGCTCTCCCAGCAGCTGTCTGGTATTAACGCTGTAAGTTTCAAGACCTACATGTCATTCAGATTATTCCCTCTAAAGACTGCCACTGAAATTGTGAAGTTGATATCAGGAGGTGATATCCTGAACCAACCTACATGTCAACTTGTTTGTTTTTAGGTTTTCTACTACTCCACTAGTATCTTTGCGAAAGCTGGAGTTGAGCAGCCCGTTTATGCGACCATTGGAGCCGGTGTGGTTAATACAGCTTTCACTGTGGTGTCGGTGAGTACAGCAGTACACAAAATAGCATTATAGGTGTCAAAAACATCAGATTGTGTTCTACCAAAGCACAATTCAAAAATTATTCTGGTCCCTTGTAATCAGATTTGTGATACAAAGCATGTATATGGTACACTGACCTTTCTCCTCATTTCTTTGTGTTTGTAGCTGTTTGTCGTAGAACGAGCAGGACGCAGGTCTTTGCACCTACTGGGGCTGCTGGGAATGGCTGGATCAGCCATCCTCATGACTATTGCTATGGCTCTGCTGGTAGGTGTATTCCTGACAAAGGCACACTTCAGTGTCACCTGATTTATGACTTTGACGTGCAACTTTCAAAAACTTTCCTCTTGTATTTTTGCAGGAGCAACTCAAATGGATGTCTTATGTAAGCATTGTAGCCATTTTTGCCTTCGTGGCATTCTTTGAGATCGGGCCGGGTCCCATCCCTTGGTTCATCGTGGCAGAGTTGTTCTCACAGGGACCCAGGCCTTCAGCCATTGCTGTCGCTGGTTTTTCCAACTGGACTGCAAACTTTATAGTGGGAATGGGCTTCCAGTATGGTGCGGTGAGTAAAAGCACATAACTATCACAAAAACATAGGCTCTTGCATTTGTTACTGACTTAATTTATTGGACCGGTTGTGTCAAATAGTAAAGCTGAACTAGGTTCTTCTTTATGATGACTTCCTCATTTTATACCCAGAGTCTGTCACTGTAAATGAAACACATACTTTGTAGCCAGATTTGAGATATGAGTTGGGCCCTTTTTAAGCAAAACATTTTATTCGTTCTACAGACAGGCACAGTTAAACCCAACATTTAGCTTTATGGTTATTAGGATTTTTATGCTTGAAATTTGTGTGTAGACTTATATAACTGTATGTAATTATACATGTATATTGTATATTGAGGTAGGATCAAATGAGTTTACCTTTAAGTCTGTGTTTGTAGCAACTCCTCCTTTGTTTCGTTATTGTTAAAGTGTATTTTGTTGATATTTTAGTCACGTTCAAATTCAATCAATCAGTGCTTATGTATGATACTGAGTTCAAGATACAAAACAGAATTGTGAAAGATGAATTGCTTCCAAGTATTAAGAAATAAGTTGATCAATCTAATATCTTTTGTTTTGCTTCTTGTGTCTCTTCGCAGAGCGCGTGCGGTCCCTACGTCTTTGTCATCTTCACTGTGCTACTGGTCATATTCTTCATCTTCACTTACTTCAAAGTGCCAGAGACCAAGGGCCGGACATTTGATGATATCGCGGCCGGCTTCCGTCAGACTGCTGCCATGGCAGAGAAGCACACACCGGAGGAGCTCAACAGCCTGGGAGCCGATTCGCAGCTCTGAGCGTCTGGGACTGAACTTTCCAACAAACTCTTTCTCAGATCAACAGCAAAGAAGAGTCTGCTGACTAGAAGTAGACGGATACACTAATAGTATATTCTTCACACTGTCACCACATTTCAGGTGTCCTCATCACCAAACAGAACAGACCTGTGTGATTTGCTCTGCCACGACGTCTTCTGCTGCTGCTTTCATGTCACACATAGAAACGAGAACTCGATGGGCACCGCGTCGCCTGGCAGAAAATATACAGATGAGAGATTAGATGGTGGGGAAGGTTTTAATATTTTTAAAGATATTTTTACAGAAGGAAAAGCCGAGTCTGCAATCAACTGGCCTCTTTTAACATCTTTTTTTCCCCCTCACTAAATATTTTACTGATATGTGCTGTTCTGTCACCTGTTACAGTGATTTTTTTGCGACTATCTGGTTAAAGAGCGCTGTAGCTTAAGTTCACTGTGCAAAAAATGTCTTTTTTAAATGATCATACTGTATTGCTGTGTTACTGTACACTCTGGCACTGTTGATGCTGTACAACTTGACTATGTCACTCCACCAGATGGGGCACTGCCCTTAGAAAAAAGTCCCAATACTCTGCTGAAAAGTAATAAGTTATTTATGTGTCTTTTACCGAGAACGTTACTGCATACAAAAACTGTGATATTTGGGTGTGAGATGATGAGAATGTTAATTTTTGCATGATGAAATTTAAATTAGCAACAACTCTTCACAAATTATACATATATGTAACTACTACTCTTTTTACTCTTTGTTGGTAGAAAACTATAGAACAATGTATTTTTTTGTACAATATTTTTGCTCATGAGGAAATGATATCTAGATAAATATGCAAAAAGAACCAAAATTTATTCTCCATTCCTGTATTTATTTATCTTTTTACACCATTCCTTTTTCAAAGTTCAAATGAAGAAATTGGAAATAGGGAACAGTATCTACACAGATCACTACCAGAGAGCTAAACTTGGCAGTAATGTTGAATACATAAATCATCCATCCATGACATAAGTGCCCACTCGCAATCAGCAGCCACAAAACCAAAAGTCTGCCCCACAAAACCCAGAAAATGTGTCCGTTTAAGTGCCTGTCTAATACAACCATCAGTCTTTCAGCCTTTGGTACAGCTTCAGGTTAGACTAACCTGATCCAGACAGAGAGCTTCTTCTCTCTCGGTGTAGGATCTTCTCTCTCTGTATCTTTGTGGTGAGATTACCTCCTGAGCTAACATAGTCTGGTGAATTGGCTTCAGAGCTGTCATGCATTCGAGTGTTACATGCTGTTATTCAGTGACAAACAAACGTTTTTTCATAAAAACAAAAGGAAAGAAAAAGAAAAACTGTGGCCTAAAATGAATGTCTGTCTTTCGTTGTTCAAAAACCGCTTTCATCTTTCTTGGGTCAAACATTCAGAACAACTTCATTATGGTCTGTGTTTCTGCAAGGTCTGTGTTTTTGCTTTTATTTCTGAATTCTGCAGTATTGAGTAGCTCAAACTCTCTTTTGGTCATCTATTTTACTTAACTTACCTGTGCAGCTTAGGTAAATTCCCAAGTTGCTGTCAATTACTGCTGAATCATATGTTTAAATGCATAATTAGAGGAGAATTACCCGTTAGCAGCACTTTATTATTCACATTTATATTATACCTGATTTTACATCATATATATCAGGCATAATGAGATTCTTTCAACATATTTCTGACAGGGTGGAGTCTTTGTTACTAAAAACAGACTGAAGTACTGCTGATGGACTGCTCAATGTTATGTGAATGGAAAGAATTGCTGTTGTACCATTTGTTTATATTCATTACAGTTTTTGTGTACTCACCTAGAAAACCTGTGTGTAAATATGATAATATTCATTGGTAGATGAGAACACTGATCCAACTCAAACACAGTAGTCAAAATCCTGAAAATCATTCCATAAATCGTTGTCAGTTGTTGTATATAGTAGCTCTTTAAAGCACACATTTGCCTTTTCATTCACATAGAAAGCATTCACTTTATTCACTGTGTGCCTTTGTGTTGCTTTCACACATCTTCAGCAATAAAATCATGTAAAGGCACCAGCAGATGCACTTCCCCACGCAAACAGATGCCTATTGCAAGTATAAAAACTGTATTTTATGTACATAGTCACATATCTGCTTGGGCATTGAATTTTTTTACGTGGCCTTTTAAAAATCTTGTGGCTCAGGTTGGTGGACTGAAAACATGGGATGTTGTAAATATCACTCAGTTAACCTTCACCCACTCCTACTGTCTGAAATCTTTACCTTTTAGAAGACCTTTTGATAGTTAAATTATTAGTACTGTAGTGATGAACATTGTTTTGCACCTAGATATCTTTTACTGTATCTGTATTATTTTGATTTGATGGCTGAATATACTGTTATGGCTTCATGAAACTATCATACTTTTCCAGAATTTACATGTTAGGATTATTTTCATTAGTGGTTGCATTTTAGAGGACAGAGCATAATGTAATTTTTGTAATAGTGATGGTGTTGGAATGCTACTTTTGTTGGAGAAATATAAATTGTGGTGGTTGGTGCAGTGAGTAGTTTAATGGATGAAATAGTGTTGGCTTAATAAAAGAAATCACAAGTATTAAACTGAAGTTTTTTGGCTCAATTTTTAGCTCTTTTTTTGACTTAACCAGGCAGCAACCTCAGTGGCTGAAAAATGAGGCAGAGATACCAAAAACTGGAGTTCCTCTAGTGGCCATTTGAGGCTTGTTCATTTCCCATAAACCCCCCAACTTTACCCAAACCCTGCCCCTTGGTTACACAGGAAAGTTACTTGTTTGGTTATTTGATTTACTTGTTTGTTGGCCTGAGTCTCATCGTTTCTCTCTACAGTGAGATCAATGAAAAGGATATGAGCTGCTGCTAAGTGCCATGGCTAACCTCAAAATGGATGCAATTACATTTGTGATTACCTGCGACATGCCTGACTTCACTCATTTCTTCTAGCCATCTGTAAAGAGCGAGAGAACCACTTCATCATTTAGTGCCTTTCAGAGGCATCGCTTTTTTCACCTTTATCAGATATAGTTTCTCTCCAAGGCTGCAGTCACACACCCACAAACATTAAAATGTGATAATTATCAATCATCTTTGACCTTTAACATTTAAACTGTCAGCAAAAAGAACTTGAGAACAAATAATGCATTTTGAAATCCTGGTTTGTTCCTGTGAATGTTTTCTACAATTCTCAAGGTCACTCACAGTCAAATACAGACTAATGAGATACAGGAGAGGCCTTGGAAAATACAAGTATTTGAATATGTTTGATCATGCCCTGGCACATGGGCATTCATTGCCTATCAGGCAGCTAGGCAGCCTGACCTTCAAGGTGGAACAAAGCACAGGGGCCCTCAGTCCACGGGACTCTCGGTGCAACTTCGATATCTACCTCCCTTGTTATTATGAATATAAATCCCTCACACTCCTTGATGGATTAGATCAGCCAGTTCACAGACATGTTTGCGGGTAAATAAAACTATGACATTGCTTCTTGTCCCGCTGTTATTGATTACAGCGAGAGGGAAGAAGGGAGGGTAGGAAAATCCTCAGAGGTTAGAAGATGTTCTGCACACAGGGTTAGCTGACCCCTGTTGTAAGCAAATTTACACTTTTCCTCAGATCAGAGTTGTGCATGCAAATTTGTTAGCAGCCTCTGTGTTTGATGATCTTCTTTGTTCCCTAATCCACTGTATTTATTCATATTTATATCCTTTATATGTCTTAATCTATTGTAAAACCTGCTCTCACAGTGAGACAGAAACAGATGGTTGGAAATTTAAGCTCAGCTCATATCTTTACAAAACATTATTGTGGCTGTAACTACCGAGGTGAATCCAGGTAAAAACTAAAGCTTGAAAAAAAAAACTATAATAAAACCCAAACTGTAGTTTTGAATCAGCAGCATGTGGCTTATGTAACCAAACCGCAAATCAATAACAGGCAGCAGATGGTTTATAACTTATCTCCAAAAGCTATAAACTCACATACGTGAGATGAATCACTAGGATTTAACTGATTATGAAAATGAGACACAAAGGAAATTGATACATGGATAGTGAGAGAAATGCGGAATTGGTGTTGACTTAAAGTCGATCCAACAGGAGTACTACAAGACAATCAGATCAGCTGTGGAGCTACCATTAGAGGCATGGGTGGTGTCTCTGTAGGCCAACAGCGCCAAACTCTCTGTGAGCTCACCGCATCAGTAGTCCTAAAAGGTTTCTAAAGGGTGCCTGGTGCTGTTTTAAAATGAATAAAAGCTTGGCTGTGAGCAGAATGGGATCATCAGCAAACCTAGAAAGTCAACAAGAACCATGTTGTGTCGATTTGGCTTTAAATAAGATATTTGACCCCTGGCTGCTCTGAGGCAAACTGCTCAGCAGCCAATACTAACACAGTGGTGCTTTCAGAGGAGAATGGACATCAAACAGGTGGATCTGGACAAGGGGATAAACAGCTCTTCCCCGGAGAAATAAATGTCAGGGTGAGAGACAGCTGAGAGAGTGTATGAAGAAAGGTTTTAACGACACACAACAATCCAGATGCAGTATGACCGATTAGCTTGCAGGATCGAAGTAGGATGTTTTTGTACGGAGCTTGTTCCTAGACAGAAAATAGCTCTTGTGCTTAAGACGCCCCTCAGAGATCATTGTAGTTCCAGGCTGTATGATATAAACAAAACCTGCCAACAATCAACTCAGATTTACAGGTTTAAAAGACCACCTACTCTAGCTGAAGTGGATTGAGCGATGCAACGTCATTCCTGTTGCATCTGATTTGGCAGAGTTGGAGGTGGCATTGAAAATGTAAAAGAATGGGTTTGATCAAATCCGTTTTAATTTTACAGTTTTAATTTGACAGAATTTGACAAGTTCTCTTTCAAAAAAAGTTTCTTTTTTTACTTTAACCCTTTCACGCACAGTGGTCACTACAGTGGACCGCTATTCAAAGGCTGTTTTCTTGTATTTGTGTCAGTGTTGATGGTATACTTGCACATTAACCACTACATTGGACACTCCATACCAAATTCATAAGTCAAAATGTATGTTGTCCACCTAAGTGGACATGTAAGTAAAAAACTCTTTGAAAAGTACATGTTTAAAAAAAATGAAGTTCAAAAATCTTTTTTTCATGCCTAAAGATGAATAAAAATAGTTAAGAAAAAAAATCCTGATTGAGGTTGTCCTGAAAGGTTTAAAGAAAGCCCCCTTCAACTGTGAAGCTGTTACTGATGTTATTTTCGGGTGTACATTTAAAAGAATTGCCTCTGGTTCAAGGAGGAAAACGCTTTGTCCTTTGCCTCAGGGAAGTATTGTTGTTGGGGGACAAATTCATTCATTCATTTTGTTTAGTTAAGATGTGCTTGAGGTGAACAATTCTCCAAAAAACAGTTTTAATCCTTAAAGATTTAAGATTAATTACACTTTGTAACTTTGGAAAATATCATTGCTCCACTTCCAGGAATACACTTATTTTGGGAGCAGGACTCCTGATACTCCAGGCTTTTCATGCTGTGTTACAGTATTTTCTTCATCTTATCTCTCTCTGCAGGTTATAATTTTCATACCAGAAGCAGTTATAAAAAACCTGCACACACAAATTTGTGTGCAAATCATGCATATGAAGGTTTCCCTCACAAATCAGTGATTTTTTTTAAAAATTTCCATACCTGTATTTGTTTGTATTAAACAAGTAAATCTAGAAGTGACCATACGTACAAAGAAATGCATTGTTTGTACGTATGTACGTAAACATTGACTAATATACGTTGCATTTTCTATTATATGGTAATATTAAATATTGCATGGTTCTATAACCATTATTTTTAATTTCTTTTGTTGTTTCTTCATAGCAACAGCTCAGTATCCAATCTCTGGCCAGCACAGCAGTCAAGTCAGTCCATTTTGATAACCCATAAAAATCCAATCCAGCAGCAGTGTGACTGATCAGCCGGCAGGTTGGGAGTGTACTTTTTTTATTTGGATCCTATTTCTAGAAAAAAAAAAAACATAGTTCTTATACCTTATATTTCCTGACTGTACAAGCAGGTTTTATTGTAAACAAACTAAGATCTGCCATCTGCGTTTTAAAATGTTTTCTTTTACTGAAAAGATTGCCTACTTTGACTGAAGTGGATGGAGGACTCTTGGCCATTTAATTTTATAGAGTTGCAGTTAATGCTGAGAACAGACTCAATAACATCAATGCTGACTTCAGTGTTTTAAAGCGGTCTCAGTTTTACGTTTTTTATAAGGCAGAACCTCTTTTGTTGGATGGGTTCAAGGTGACTTTT